CCAAGCGAGCGTGGCGCGTCGCAGTTAGTTACCTTCTAAAATACATGCAAATGCACTGTACGGGATCATTACTGAAGGTATAGTAATGTAAAATGTTTTTAAGTTAGTAAATCTCTATCCTGTCAAAAATAACTTCCTAATTCATTTGTCATCAATTTAACACGTGATGAATTAAGTGTATTTCAAATAAACACTGACAAAATTAAATATTTTTTGTTGCATTTTTCTCTTATATTAAATTGATGTAACTTTTCACTTTTTGTGAAAATCCGGCGCCCAGACTGGGAGTAGAACCCAGTGCCGCGATGTAGGCCGAGGATTAGCCTAGTGAGCCATGGCCCGGCCGGTCCCTGGCTTTTAATGGGAGCCTAATTCACTATCTCCTCTGTTCAATTCTCTGTCATTTCCTCCTGAATTTCCTGTTTTGAGTCAAGGGTGCTACCATCTTCTTAGTCTTGGAAGTCTCTGCAAACTCTATGTGCCTGCTGTGTCCTGTGTCCATGTGAGTTGATCTCACCTTGGCCCCTCCTGCCTGGCGTGTCCTTTGTCCACAGGTGAGTTGATCTCACCTGGGCCCCAACTGCCTGGCATGTCCTATGTCCATATGAGCTGATCTCACCTGGGCCAGTTCTTCCCCTTCGCGCTGTCATGGCCCTGGTGCAGATCTCAGGTCCCTCCTGCTCTGCAAGCTGCAGCACCCTCTCAATGTCATGCCCCGTCCCCTGGCTTGGCTCTTTCCAGCCTACTTGTCACAGGGTAGGGAGAGTTTGCGCCTTCTGCTTAGCTCGGGAACCTGTGGGCTGGCCTTGTGTACCCTGTGAAGTCTTGGCTTTATCTCAAGGAACTCACGGTTTGCTTCAAGCCATCTTTTTAGCCTGGTTTCACTTTCCCCATCTCATATATATTTGGTTTACTGGGCATTTTTGGTTCTTGGAGCATCATGTAGTTGGTGCTGTTCCTGCCTGAGCAGAAGCTCTGGCTACTCCTTTCCCCAGCTCCCCTGCTGTTAAGAAGTCAGGGGATTCTCCTCCTCTCCTTTGATTACCTGGCTGAGATCTCAATGAGAGCATTTCATTAGGCTCCTAGTGTCCCTTAGCTAGCTGATCTCTCCCTGTGTTGTGCACTCCTGGGGACAGGGATCCTGCTGTCTTTCTTTCCCTGTAAGTTGGGCAGTCTGTGTGGAGCTGAACGATTCACATTGTCTTTTCTGAAGGTTTAGTAACCAGGCAGAGTGACAGCCAGGAGTTAGAGGACTGATGTTTCTCTTCAAGAGATGGTCTCGCTGAGTGGTGTCAGGGAGGGTCTTCCTCACAGGATGATGGCTGCTTAGGCAGTGTCTGTGCTGGGGGGAGTGGAGTGAAATCTGGGCACGTGGGGGAGGAGTGGCAGACCCCCGACGTGGGGTGAGTCTCTGAGCCTTGGCTTCCTAATCTGTGGAGAAGGGATGGCAGTGTCTGTGTGTGTCCCGAGTTTGCACTGTCCTGGATGCCTGTCACTGCTGCCACGGTCATCTCAGGTCTAGGAATGCCCGACATTCAAACCAAGGCACCTTGCAGCTTCTGTCCACCTCTGACCTTTTATGGTGCTGGGTTCTGTACCCGGAGGGAGGGTTGTAGCAGGCCCCGAGTTTTCTTTGTTAAAGCTTTTTGAAAATTCAAGTTGAAGCATTTAAAAAATTTTGTTTATTTATGTAAGAGGCTGAGTGACAGAAAAAAGAGAGAGAAATCTTCCATCCAGTGGTTTCACTCCACAAATGCCTGACAACAGCCAGGGCTGGGCCAGGCCAAAGTTAGGAGCCCAGAGTTCCTTGCAGGTGTCCATGTGGGTGGCAGGGACACAAGCACTTGAGCCATCACCTGCTGCCTCCCATGGTTCTCCTGGCAGGAAACTAGATCTGTAGCATGGAGCAACCAAGACTTGAACAGACTCTCCAGTGTGGGATGTGGGTGTCCCAGCTGCAGACTAACCTGCTGCACCTCAGTGCCTGCCACAGTTGAAGCATTTCAGTGATAAATTTTAGCTTACAAATTATGTATGTTCCTTTTAGAAATCTTGAAAAATAAATGGATAGTAAAAAAATAATTCCTCATCCTGCATCCTAACTGTGCATAGACAGGCACACTTAACATTCTATGTGTTTATTTAGTACTGTATTTCTTTTTAAAAATTGGATTGATTTTAAAAATGGAATTTATTGGCCGGCACCACAGCTCACTTGGATAATCTGCCTGCCTGCAGCACCGGCACCCCAGGTTCTAGTCATGTTTGGGGTGCCGGATTCTGTCCTGGTTGCACCTCTTCCAGTCCAGCTCTCTGCTGTGGCCCAGGAGGGCAATGGAGGATGGCCCAAGTGCTTGGGCCCTGCACCCACATGGGAGACCAGGAGGAAGCATCTGGCTCCTGCCAGAGCAGCCGTAGCAGCCATTTAGGGGGTGAACCAATGGAAGCAAGACCTTTCTCTCTGTCTCCCTCTCTCACTGTCTAATTCTGCCTGTTAAAAAAATAATAAAAAATTTTGCCGGTGCCATGGCTCACTAGGCTAATCCTCCACCTAGCGGCGCCGCACACCGGGTTCTAGTCCCGGTCGGGGCGCCGGATTCTGTCCCGGTTGCCCCTCTTCCAGGCCAGCTCTCTGCTGTGGCCAGGGAGTGCAGTGGAGATAGCCCAGGTGCTTGGGCCCTGCACCCCATGGGAGACCAGGAAAAGCACCTGGCTCCTGGCTCCTGCCATCGGATCAGCGCGGTGCGCCGCCGAGCGCGCTGGCCGCGGCGGCCATTGGAGGGTGAACAATGGCAAAGGAAGACCTTTCTCTCTCTGTCTCTCTCTCTCATGTCCACTCTGCCTGTCAAAAAATAATAAAAATAAAAATAAAAAAATAATAAAAATTTTACAAAATTGAATTTATTTTATAAATCTGTATTTTGATTTTTGAAGTAGCATAACTTTTCCATATTATGAAGGTTTTCTGGGAGTCAACTAGAAAATGGGAGATCCCTCTCCTCCCTCTCTCTCTTTTTTTCCTCTCTCTCAGCCTCCTTTGCCTTTCAAATAAGATGAAAATAAATTAAAATTAAATGCCTGTGATAGTGGTTTGTGCTAGAGACTTGATATCTATATATGTACACATTCACACATACATAAACACATATCCCAGTAAGAATAAATTCTTAACCATAAGACCCAAAACTCTAAAACGACTAGAGGAAAGCAGAGGGAAAGGTCCTTGGCATCGATCTGAGCAGTAATTTCTTGGATGTGACCCCAAAGGCGTGGGTGGCAAAAGCAAAAATAGACATATGAGATTGCATACAAGAAAATCTTCTCCAAGCAAAGGAAACAATGGGATCTCTCTGTCTCTCGTTCTCTGTCTGCCTTAACCTCTGTCTCTGACTTTCAAAAAAATTAAACAATTTTTTTTGTAGTAAAATAGGTCAGGAAAGCAAGGAAGATGGAAGAGGGGATAACAGAACAGGATACTTTTCTTTCCTGAGGTTGGTATCTGAAGAACGGGGGGTTATTCAGGGTGAGTACAGATGCGTTAAGGGGCTGTGGGCCCTGCCGGGACCCTCGGTGCCTCCCAGCAGTCAGGCAGGAGCAGAAAGGACACAGGGTGCCGGCAGGTTCAGCGGCATCAGGCACTGAGACCACAAACGCAGTCCTGCAGAGAGGAGTCTCCTACAGGGACCCAAGCCCTTGGACCACCTTCCATTGCTTTCCAGGCATACTAGCAGGGAGCTAGATCAGAAGTGGAGCAGCTGGGACACAAACCGGCACCCACATGAGATATCAGTGCCACAGGCGGTGGCTCAACCAGCTACACCACAGTGCCAGCCCGAAAATAAATGTCTTTAAAGATTTTTAAGACCGACCAGGTGTGGGCAAGACCCAGTGGAAAATTAAACTCAAGGTAGGGAAGAGAAGGTGACTGGGCTGCACGTCTGCCAGTTGCCACCTGCCGGTTGCTATGCATGTCACCACACCCTGCATCACCAGCAGTAAACACCCTGTGGGGCTGCCCAGCACACAGACGACAGACAAGAGTGTTTGCTCCCGGGGTTGCACTGGGACTTGCTGGGAAGAAAGCTGGGGAACTTTCTGGGGTGATGGAAATGTTCTGTATTATATCTTGATGAGGGCTTAGATTACACAATGACATGGGCCAGCATCTGTTGAAACTCATCAGATGAAACATGTTAGACCTGCACATTTCAGTGCATGTGCATTTTATCAAAACATTGAGCTCAGAAGCACTCACAGGTGCTTCTGAAATCCGGAACTTTAGACAAGATACTGGGCGGGGTGGGGGGTGTAGGTAGGAGCCAGAGAGATGTGTTACAAGGCAAATGCAGCAAAATGCTAAGTATGGAAGCTACACAACAGGCACACAATTGTTTAGATAGGATTCCTGCAAGTCTGCAATGAATACTGTCCTGATAAAAGGCAGGAAAGAAAGGGATGGCTGACACGGGACTGAGTTCCAGAAAAGTTCAAAGGCACAGCAACAGCAAAGGAAACAGCAGCCCAGAAAGGTGGAAAAGCTACACCTTGGGCTTGGCACTGTGGTGCCGAGGGTTAGCAGCCTCCTGCAATGCTGGCGTCCTTCGGAGGTTTGCCCAAGTGCTTGGGCCCCAGCTATCCACATGGGAATCCTGGATGGAGTTCCTGGCTCCTGGCTTCAGCCTGGCCCAGCCCTCAAGTGCTGAATCAGGAGGCGCCCTGGGCTGCAGGAACCACAGGATGGGCCTGTTCCTGTCTCCCAGTCTTCCACTCAGTAACCAGTCTGCTGAGGATCTGACCCCTGTTCAGATCCAGTAATGGGAACCAAGGGCACGAAGGGGTCAACTTCATGCCTGTAGCATGTGGTATTTGATCTCCACCCCCATCAGGACTGCACCAAACTAAAGGAAGCTTTGAGGTTTTCTGAACAGTAGCTATGTAAAATATCGCTTGTAAAGGCAACGACGCAAACTTCCCAGGTCTGACGCACTGACCACACCTACCCTTGGTGGTGAGCAGTTTGGAGGTGACCTCCAGTGCCTCCAAGGGTTCCAGGCCAATGTTTTCTAAGGTGACGATGAGTTGATGAGTCTCCCCGTTGAACAGCTGCATAGACACGTTGGTAGATATCTCGTCACCAGAGGAAGGCTGCAATGAGTGTGCCGATCTAAACCAAAAGCAGGGAGAATAAACTGAAGGAAGAAACCAACTGTGCAGGAATGATTCACATCAGGGGCGGTGCTGTGGTGTAGTGGGTAAAGCCGCTGCCTGCAGCACCAGCATCCCATGAGTGCCAATTCAAATCCCAGCTGCTCCACTTCCAATCCAGCTCTCTGCTAATGTGCCTGGGAAAGCAGGGGAAAACGACCCAAGTGCTTGGGCCCCTGCACCCATGTGGGAGACCCAGAAGAAGCTCCTGGTTCCTGGCTTTGTCTTGGTCCCAGCTCCAGTCATTTGGGGAGTGAACCAGCAAATGGAAGATCAATTCGCTTTCCTCTGTCTTTCAAATACTAAATTAAAAAAAAAAACTGATTCACATCAGGTAAAAGGACGACCACATTTGGCATTTCAGAAATAGGAGCTAGAGAATCTTGGCTTTGAATGAGAAATTTGGGAGCCAACCATGCTGAGAACAAGTCAGGTTCTGTAAGCCAGGCATATGACGCGCCTCGGCTCCAGGCTCCGATCAGAGGCAATGTTTTTTCCCAAACCAAATCCTGAGAAAAAAACAGCACAACAGGTTGAGGCGATTTCCTATGTGCCATCTATAACAGCGTTCCTCACACCTAGGTCAGCGAAGGAAAGCCGATGCACAACCTCCTGCATGACCCTGTGCAGCTTGCACATCAGTCCCTCCTGGGGGAAGGTTTCGGGAGGTAACAAAACTCAGCCAGAACTAATCACTGGCCTCTCGCACAGCAGGGTGTCCAGGCCCTGTGCTGCAGGGGACAGGGAAGGAGGCACCCACAGTGCAGGAGCCCCGGAGCCACGAGGAACGGCATCAGAGTGAGACTGCAGCTGGCACTGCTGCAAAGGCACACTCGGGACATGGCACTGGGACCCAGCTCCCACCAGCAGCACTGTCCTCCTCAGCCCTGCGCTGGCCCCAGAGCCTTCCCAAGGCAGGAACGATGTTTCTGTCTGTTTGCTATCAGCTCCTTGCCATACACCTAGTGTCTAATAGGTACTCACTAAGAATGCACTGAACAGACTGATAAGCACCTCAACTCTGAACCTCCTGTGTGGCATATAAGAGCATCTCGTCAGTGTCTGCCCGAGCCCAGGACAGAGTGACCACTGTGTGTTCAGCGGCTGTTTGCTTGGTGCCTGGCCTGGTGCAGCATCTCTCAAGGTGCGGAATGCAGGGGCTGGTGTTGTGGTGTAGCAGGTGAAGTCTCTGCATGCAGCACTAGTATCTTAATGGGTGCCGGTTCAAGTCCCAGCTGCTCCACTTCCAATCCAGCTCCCTGCTAATACACCTGGAAAAACAGTGGGAGATGGTCCAAGTATCTGAACTCCTGCCACCCACATAGGAGACCAAAATGAAGCTCCTGGTTCCTGGCTTCAACCTGGCCTTTGTGGCCATTTGGGGAGTGAACCCACAGATGAGACCTCTCTCTCTCTCTCTCTCTTTCTCCAGGTGTGTGTGTCTGTGTGTGTGTGTGTGTGTTTCTCTGTAACTCTGCCTTTCAAATAAAAATAAATAAATCTTAAAAAAAAAAGAGACTGGAAGGAAGGCACAGCCCCATTGTGCCCACACACAAGCCATCAGGCCACGGGCCTAGCATCATTCCTCCTGCCAGGCTCTGTTGCCCCCATTTGCCCACAGGGTTCTTCTCTTTTGCGTTACTGACCGACAGGGAGGCCTGTGTCCACTGCCATGCGCTGAGCTCACTTCTGTCTCTGGGGAGCTGCCTCTCCAGGGCTCTGCCTCTGTCCCATCCTGCTGTTCTCAGTCGTATTTCACTCCCTTCTTTACGGTCTGTGTTTGACCATGCTTTGTAAATCCCACACTTTCTATGGAGCCTTCCTGAACCCCACAAGACAGGGTCAGCGTCCCCTCCTCTGGTTCACATTACAGGAGCAGTCAGCAAATCCCAATGATCACACCAACCCCCTAAGCCCACATACCCCCGACAGGGAGCTCTTCTAAAGGGTCATGGCCTAGGTCAGGGTCCTGGAGCACAAGGTGGTGTTCGCAGATGCTGGTGAGTGCATTTCACCAGTCACAGGGGCCTTTATAGCAGATTAGTTACAATCAACACTTAATTAATCAAGAGTCACTTGAAAAAAAATACTTATTTATTTATTTATTTATTTAAAAGGCAGAATTACAGAGAGAGAGAAAGCGCACTTCCATCCACTGGCTCACTTCCCAAATGGTTGCAAAGGCCAGGGCTGGGCCAGACCAAAGCCGGAGCCAGGAGCTTCTTCTGGGTCTCCCACGCAGGTGCAGGGGCCCAAGCACTTGGGTCATCTGCTGCTGCTTTCCCAGGCCATAGCAGGGAGCTGGATTAGAAGAAAAGCCGCTGGGACACAAACCAACACCCATATGGGATGCCAGTGTTGCAGGCAGCAGCTTTACCCACTACACCACAATGGCCAGCCCAGAGAAATAGGGGGCCTTTTGAAATATATGTCTTATACCGTTTTTCAGTAAGAGATAAAAGGCAGCCATCCTGGCCTTCGGTGCCCATGCTGAAGCATGTGTCGGGAGCATGCGTCAGTGCGTCTCTACTGCTCAGCTGCACCCCGGGTGTAAATGGGCCATATTTGGTTCCTGTGTCAGGGCCCTGCTTGCCTGTCTTGCTCAGTGGCAGCCCAGGTACAAATGTGCCACATTTTGTTCAGCCACTTGCCAGGCAATGGGCATCCAAGTTCTGCCTGCTTTATGGACTATTACAAAAAATGCAGCTGTGAACATTCATATACAAGTTTCTGAGTCACTGTCTGCTTTCCTCGGCCTTGGGTAGACACCGAATTTCTGAGTCATATGGTCAATTTACGTTCAACATTTCTAGAAACATGGCAAGCGTGCAGGCTTCTCCAGCACCACACATGGCTACCGCCTGTCTTCTGACGACAGCCACCCTGGCAGGTGTGAGCAGGAACCCCACACGGTACCAGCTCCAGAAAGATTGATGATGCCACACACCTTTCCAGGTTGCTCGTTAGCTCCTGGGAGTCTTTCATGGGGAGAGAGCTAGCCCATACTTCTGTCAACCTTTCTAATTTAGTTGTTTGCCTTCTTAGTTTGGGTGTTAAGTAGCAGATCCTTACCAGAGACATGATGTACAAATATTTCCTTCCAGCCTGTGAGTTGTCTGTTCATTTTCTTAGTGGTATTTCTGGAAGCACAGCAGTTTTTAATTTTGATGAAGCCCAATTTATCAGTGTTTTTTTCTTTGTGGATCTTGCTTTTGGTGACATGTCAAAGAACTCTTTGGCTAATACAAGGTCGTGAAAACTCTCACCAGCTTTCTTTTCAAAGGCTGGTGCTCTGAGCTCTCACAGTCAGGTCTGGGATCTGCTTTAGAATTCATGTTTCCTGCATTTCATTGCATTCCCCAATCACCGGATGCTTTCGCCACCTCTGACAAATGCTCCCAGCTGCCCACCGTGCATGGCTAACTCCTGCTCCCAGCCCCTCACGGCCACCAGTGGGGACCGGAGGGCAGTGGCCATGCTGGTTCTGCCTTCTCCCTCTCTCCCGCTGAACAAAGCCTCCTTGAGCACCAGGCCCCAGAATGCTGGGCCCACGGTTTCAGCTCTGGTGCCTGGCCCACTGCCTAGCAAGCAACAAGCATGTATCAGACACACAAACCAGTTAAAACCTTTTAGAAAATCTCAGACATCCTAAAAATAGCCAAAGGATGTCCAAGAAGTGTCACCCCTGAGGGCAACAACTGAGAACAGCCCAAATCCAACAGCAAGGAAAGGGCGGTTATGCAGTCCTGAGATATCCTCAGGCTGTCCTTTTTAAACGCAACTAGAACCAGGTTTTTTAAGACTCTGTGAAAGTGTGAGGAGAACTTATTAATGTGATTTCACAAAAACTCATCTATGACACCGTGTTCAGACAAGTGTTTTCTAAAGTGGCAGGAAGCACCTCCAAGCATTCACAGTGACTGGCTCCAGGCCTCCCGACAGCCACTTCCCTTTCTCCTTTATGCTTCCCTGTGATGCTGAAAATCTAAAACAAAAATAAAACAATCCCATATGGGTGCCAGACTTCCACAGTAGAGCCGCTGGTCTTTATTCCCGGGAGGTGGTCCAGCAGGCAGTCACTGACAACACTAAAGACGGTGGTGTAGTAACCTGGGACACAGGAAAGTAGAGACCTCACAACTCCCAGCAAAGTTCCATGCCCCATGTCCACCTTTCTGTCCACTGCTGAAGTCCCCAACCAGCAAGGGCAACCCTGCAGAAGACCTGGGTCCTGGTGCTGGCTCCGTTACCTGCCAGTCCCTGCCCACAGCCTCAACATCCCTCGGGCTCCTCCTTTGTGGTGGGGATTACAACAGCACCTATACTCCCATCCCACCAGGCTGACTGGGCCCAATTGGGAAAGCTCCTGTAAGCCATCAATCTCTGCACAACCCGTAGTCAGCATCTCAGCCCAGGACTCACTTGCTTTTCAGATTTATCCATCTCCACAGTGAGGATGGCAGTTAATATTCCTTCCCGGGACATAATGTAATTTAATGAGTATTTGAAAAATGCTTCAGAACCTTCTGTTCAGAGGTGAAAGTTCAAGAGCCAATTATTATTATTGCAGCAGCTTTGTGATGGGGCGAACTGGCTGTGTGTGTGTGTGTGTGTGTGTGAGCACTGCCGTTTAAGATGAGCAAATTTCCCACTGGTGAGATAAGCACTTGAAACTAAGCAAAGCTGTAGAACGGCTTTTGAAATTTAGCTAATTATTGTCAACAGCATTTACTGTGCAACAAAATGAAACCATACCTAGTGGCTCGAGGCTCAGGTGACAACCTGCCTACACAGGCTCACACAAAAAGCCTGGGGTGTGCTCAGTGGAGAAGCCAGCAAGGCTTTCAAGGGCTCCTGGGGCCCCAGCAGCCTCCTCGGTCCTCGTGAGGTTCCTGCTGGCTGGGAGCTGCGCTCTCAACACCACTCCAGCTCACCCTCCCTCAGAGGGTGGGCTTGTCAAAACACCCCTGCAATGGGCAAAACACTATTCTCCCCACAAATCCATACCTGGAACCAGGGTTTCTCGCATTTCCCTTTCAACAGGAACCTGATATATGTTTTGCCTGCTGAGCAACCACTATTTTATAATCCCTAATTAGAATCAGGCCTTTCCTTACCATTGCTGAAAATGGCTGTCACTTAATAGTCTGATGACAAAGACTTGGGGTCCACAATTACTGTGCACAGCAGTACAGGGTCAGCCCGTCTATCTTTGTGCACAAGACACACCAAAGAACAATGCCAACTGCTCTGCACAGAGATGCACAGCTCAGGGACCACTAAGTCCACACAGGTAGTGGAGGAAGTGGAAAAGGATAGGGCACTTGCAAGACAGCAAAGGTAGAGGAACAATGTGTAACCCAGCAGGAAGGCTCAGCAGAGGAGCACAGAGATGGACCACACAGGGCTGGGGAACTCGGCCTGATGACGAGGGAAAGTGACTCCCACTGGTTGACCACGATGCCTTCAGAGGAGAGAGAAGGGTCTCAGAGGAGAGACCGCTTTGGGGAGGGGAGGCAGTACATTTGGGTTGGACGTGTAGAACACGCATGTCCCACCCGCTGGACACCAGGGGGATAGCTGGGAAGTGCTGGGGCACAAGCCATGGAAGGGTACCTGACCCCAGGAGTGGTCAGCAGTCTACAGGGCTGTGAGGCAGAAAAACACTGTGGGGCTGGGGACACCCTCACCACTGGTGACGTACGGAGGACAGAGAGGAGGACAGGAAACACAGAGCGAGGAGCACCTGTCAGAGGGCTGGGCTGCAAGGGGACACCTGCACGAGACCAGCAAGACTGAGGAAGAAGGGCCAAAGAGACTGCGGAAAATCTGGAGGGTGTGGTGTCACCGAGGCTGGAGGACACAGCTCGCCACACATGCAGGGTGGCAAATGAGCACTAAAGCTCCAAGCAAACCAAACCACTGGTCCCAGGTTTAGGCAGAAAAACGCCACTAGTGATGCCACAGACAGGTGTTCTGGTGAAGGGATAAGGGTTAAACTCAGGACGCGGAGGGGTGCAGGAACGTGGCACTGGTGGCAGAAGCGACTCAGTGTGCACAGCCAACTCTCCCAAGAGATCCAGCAGAAGACAGGGGCTTCCTGAGAGTACATGGGACATCGTGGCATCAGGAAATGTCAGGATGCAGAGCTAGGAACTAAGCTGTTGGAAGACTGTCTGGAGGAGGAGGCATACAGAGCACAGGAAGAGGCCCCGCCCAGCGCAGCAGGAGCCTGGCAGGTGCCAATCACACTCCAACAACTTGCACCACATCCCAAGGAAAGGCAGTCTTTCCCCATCCCTTGATGGACGAGGACTAACGAGATGGGTGAGAGGCTCTGGACCCTGGTGTACGGAACAGCAGTGTGGCAGCCCCTCAACAGCAGCAATCAGAAAAGCCCTTACCGTTCACGGTGATCGTTCCAGTCATCTGTGGGACCCCTACGAGCGTCACCAGGTATAGACCAGACTCGGCTGGAAGGGAGAGCGCTGTGGGGCGCGACTCAAATTCCACTCCGCTGGTCAGCAGCCCCTGCAGCAAGGCACAGAGCAATGTGAGCAGGACCAGCCTGCACCACACACCTGGCAGCCCAGAACAAGGCAGTGGAAGGCTGCGGCTTCTTAGAACCCACAGAGAACTGCAGAGACCATGCACACGTGATGCCCGGGGCAGTCAGATCAACAGCCGCTGCCCTTGATTTTGGTCCTCTCTGCCATGTTTCTGATGTTTGCTTTGCTTTCTTCTTGCACCAAATGGGAATATGAACACAAAGGAAACTTTTTATTTATCTTTTTTTGAAACACTTATATTTATTTGAAAACAAGAGGGAAACAGAGACAGAGAGATCTACTGTTTTACTCCACTAATGGCTGTAATGGCCGGGGCTGGGCCAGGCCAAAGCCAGGATCCAGAAGCTTCCTCCTGGTCTCCCACAATCTAAAAGATGTCAACAATCACCAGTCAACTATTAGAAAATAAAATGTTTAAAAAAATTAACAAGACACCAAAAATTCCAACTATCTTGGAGTAAATCTAACGAATAACGTGCAAGATTTCGTCACAGTTACAGAAACCTGCTGAGATAAATTAAAGAACTCAAGATACAGAGAGTCCTGCCCTGTTTGTGGGGTTACGCTTTCCACAGTTTGCAGTCAAGGCAACCCTCAAACTCTCAGATCCAGGGCCGGCATTGGGGCGTAGCAGGTAAAGCCGCTGCCTACAACACCAGCATCCCATATAGCTGCTGGTTTGCATCCTGGCTGCTCCACTTCCGATCCAGCTGCCTGCCCATGTGCCTGAGAATACAGCAGAAGATGGCCCAAGTGTTTGGGCCTCTGCCACCCATGTGGGAGATCCAGACAGAACTCCTGTCTTCAAGCCTGGCTCAGCCGTGGCTTGGGCGGACACTTGGGGAGTGAACCAGCAAATGGACTCTGTGACTCAACTTTCAAATAAATAAATAAATAAATAATCTTTAAAAAAAAACACCTCTTTTATCTGTGGCAGGACAAGGCATGTAAGTGGGTGTGCTGAGAGGAAGGGTGCAAACATGGAACGCAGGAAGGCAAGATGCCGGGCCTCGGTGTGAGTTCAGGGTGTATGAAACCTGCATGCACAGATGTGTGCGTGGTGTAGACAGCTGGGTGTGTGGAATGCACATACACTGTGTCTAACTCTGTGCACAGGAGACGCTGGCAGCAGAGACACTCTGGGGGCAGTGAGCACGCCTGCCGCCCACATGTGAGGCAAAGGCATGAAGTGATCTGCGTGTGTGAGTGTGGAGGGGGTGCAGTGGGCAGGATGCACTCAGTGAAGCTGATCGCATGCCTTTCATCTCTAACAGACACACTGGCCTCTCTGTCTTCATAGAACAGCCAGGGCGGTGTGAACACCGCTGCCTGCCTGAAATGCCGGTGGTGTGTGCACATCTGAAGTGTTCCATGAGTCAGCTTTCAACACAGCACCATGGTATGCTGGCTATATCCAAGTGGTGGTTTTCTCTTGTCTAAGTCTCTAAACTTCCTGATTTGTTAAAATATGTAATTTATTACTTTTAAACCAGGTAAAAATGCTACTTTTAAAATGAAAAAAAAAATGTATAAGAAACAGCAGCAATCATCTGACACTTTAACTACTTTGTGGTAAATTCCCCCCTTGGATTCCAAGAGCCAGACAGCCACAGCAGAGGCTGACCATGGCCATGTCCTGAGGCCAGTGAACCCTTGTGCAACAGTTGGGGGAACACCGGTGCTCAGTCAGTCTCAGGACTGCTGGCTTAACACAGGCTTGGGGAGCAGTCACATGCAGCAGGGCTGCCCAACAGTCCTGGCTTGCGGAAAACTGTGGCTCCACCAGGCAGTCTGGCCCAGCCAGCAGGGGCGTCTCTCTCAGGCAGGCGCCATGCATCCCCAACACAGCTCATTGTGTTCACACCAGGGATAAGGCCTATAGGCCTTTGTATCCCCCGGGTCCCACGCACCCTGTACCTGGCACAGGGCATGGCCCTCAATGAGACACCAGCAGGAAGAGCCTGGTTCTCACCTGGAACACCAGTTATGAAACTGGTTGCAGTACAGAGAACCTTGGTAACAGATCCCATGGTAGTCTGAAGGCAGCACAAGTCCCCCAAACAAGCATGGACCAGGGCGTGAATCTTCCACACCCTACATGGTGCAGTAAAACAGCACCTCTCTCTACAGCTCCCCCTGCGCCTCAATCCCTGTGTCACCTCACAGCAGCACAACAATCTCCAGTAAGCCCCTGTGAACTCCAAAGTGCTGACTTCCAATCTCACAGCCAATGGGCAAAGCTCAGTGCATGTACAAGCCCAAGGTTGTTCTGTGCTGTCTACTCGGCAGCAAGCATGAGACACGGTAATGACAAAACATGGACTTCACTCACCAAATGCTTACTATCTTGGGCAAAGCAGACATGTGTGCCAGAATTAGTGCCTCTAACAGTAAGCAAAGACGCATTTTAGTGACATGCTGGGGTTCTCGGTCACAGAGGCCCCTGCGGTGGTACATACCATGTTCTGCACTCGAAGCTCAAACAGCATGGGGTTGTACACCATCAGCTGGACTTCACATACGTCCCCTTGAACCCACTGGAAATCTAGACACACACACAAAAGAACCCTGGGGTTAGCAGGTAGTTTTGAACTTCTCATGGGGTTTCAGATCAGCCCACTGACGATTTTCTTCCCACAAAGGTGGTGGCCGCCATGCCCATTGTGAGGTGGGAAGTTCACAGCTTGGTGTGCCCTGCTTTCTCTGAAACCACACAAAGCAAGGTATTGCCACTGTCCTGACACTACACACAGGGTGCCTCCCCCGCCCTCTGCAGGCTGCACTCCTGCTGGCACCCCAAGGCCACCTCACAAAGCTACAGCTGGACCTGGTGTGGCCCCTTACAGCACACAGCACCCCAAGGGCCCACAGGCTGTCAATGCAGGAAGAAGGCCGGGGTCATTGGCAAGAGGCCCAGAGTGTGGGTCACCTGTGCCCCCCAAGACCACGACTTTTCCACCCAGCCCACCTCCTTGTCAGTTGTAACTCAGCAGCTGCTGGGGGAGACCGAACTCTGAAATAACCCCAAGACTCCAAGCAACCCCAAAACAACCCCAAGATGACCTGAGTGTGAACATGATGACCAAGCCACATGACAGAGCACAGGTGAATGGTTCCTGTAGACTTAATAGAGGTCCCCAACCAGCTGACCAAGCTCGTCAAAAGGGAGATTGCTCTAGATGGGATAGACATGGTCAAGTGAGCCCATAAAGGGGGTGAGACCCCTCCTGGAGGGGTGACCCCTAGGAACTCAAGCCAGCAGCACAGGGACCTGAGGGAGGGGCTGGAGGCCAGCAGGGGAATGGGGACCTGAGGGAGGGGCTGGGGGCCAGCAGGTGTGAACAGGGACCTGAGGGAGGGGCTGGGGGCCAGGAGGGGTGAACAGAGACCTGAGGGAGGGACTGGGGGCCAGGAGGGGTGAACAGGGACCTGAGGGAGGGACTGGGGGCCAGGAGGGGTGAACAGGGACCTGAGGGAGGGGCTGGGGCCAGGAGGGGTGAACAGGGACCTGAGGGAGGGGCTGGGGGCCAGCAGGTGTGAACAGGGACCTGAGGGAGGGACTGAGGGCCAGGAGGGGTGAACAGGGACCTGAGGGAGGGGCTGGGGGCCAGGAGGGGTGAACAGGGACCTGAGAGAGGGGCTGGGGGCCAGGAGGGTAACAGGGACCTGAGGGAGGGGCTGGGGGCCAGCAGGGTACGGGGACCTGAGGGAGGGGCTGGGGGCCAGGAGGGTACGGGGATCTGAGGGAGGGGCTGGGGGTCAGCAGGGGAACAGGGACCTGAGGGAGGCGCTGGGGGCCAGCAGGGTACGGGGACCTGAGGGAGGGCCTGGGGGCCAGGAGGGTACGGGGACCTGAGGGAGGGGCTGGGGGCCAGCAGGGTACGGGGACCTGAGGGAGGGGCTGGGGGCCAGGAGGGTACGGGGACCTGAGGGAGGGGCTGGGGGCCAGGAGGGTACGGGGACCTGAGGGAGGGGCTGGGGCCAGGAGGGTACGGGGACCTGAGGGAGGGGCTGGGGGCCAGGAGGGTACGGGGACCTGAGGGAGGGGCTGGGGGCCAGCAGGGTATGGGGACCTGAGGGAGGGGCTGGGGGCCAGCAGGGTACGGGGACCTGAGGGAGGGGCTGGGGGCCAGCAGGGTAAGGGGACCTGAGGGAGGGGCTGGGGGCCAGCAGGGTACGGGGACCTGAGGGAGGGGCTGGGGGCCAGCAGGGTAAGGGGACCTGAGGGGGGCCACCTCAGGGAAATGGCTGAGGATACCATGAGGGGTATGGACACAGACCTCCCCTGGACAAGCCTGAGATGTGGACACAGCCTGGGCATAGGACTGCACTGGACGCCCTGATTTCACAGACAGTGAGGAAATCAATCTGTATTGCTCTAAACTGGGAAGTTGGTGATTTCTTACAAAGCAATGAGACACCAGCAGAGTACCCATGATGGGTGTCCAAGATATGCCAGCAGGCAGAGCCTGGCTCTCACCGGAACACCTGTTATGAAACTGGAAGGCAGTGAAGGAAAATCAGACCCCACGTGAGGCGTAAAGCCCTTCCACACGGCTGCCCCACTGCTGTTTGTAATCACCTCGGGGGAACAGCAGTGACCCCAGGGTCACAAGGCAGGCACTTGGGGTCTTAGCAGATGAGCAAACCTGCCTGGGAATACCACCGCCAGCATCTTGTGCCACAGGGACTCTGGCAGTGGGAACTCCAGGTGGGGCCTAGCAGAGATGTGGTGGCAGAAGGGGAAGCAGAGGCTTTTCCAGCATTTGCTGACCGGAATTCCTTGGCTTCATGGAGCCTTCAGCTTCTGCAAACACCTTGTGCCAAGGCAGCCTGCACAGGATCCAGGACCAGCTCCACCACACCTGTGATGATGACCGGGAGCTGGCATCTTGGATCCATTCACAAGATGATGGCACAGAGTAACACAGTGCAGGACCGACTGCCACCTGGTCAGAACCAGCACTTGTCTTATTTTACGAAGAAGGAAAACTTTTCCTGACAGGTGGGACAGCCTGCCCATCTTAGGCCCTGATAAATCATTGCTCAGACTCAAAACACAAGGCTGTCAGCTCTGGAACCCATGCTCTTTCTCCCTCCACCAAGCTGCCCCTTGGTAGCTCCTGGGACTCAGGCTGCCCTCTCTCTGCAGGGGTCTGACGTCAGCCTCTGATAAGCTGCAGGGGCTTCTCCACAAAGGAGCCAGGGCAGCTGTGCTCATCCCACCTGCACCCTCCACCCTTAGCAGCCTCCCTTGGCCTGCAAGGGATTGGCACCCCAGCCCACCCCCAACCAAAGATGAGGAACTCATTGTCTCTTAAACAGGTCCTTATGCCTGGTATCACAGATTCGTTCTCTCTCGTGGTCAAAAAATGATCATTGTGCTTTCCAGGGTGCCGAAAAGAGTAATTTGTACTTTGACGGCTTTTGTCCACTACAGGTAAGTCTAAAGTCAATCACTGAGTCTGTGAGAAGTGATTTTTGTCAGAAACAGACAATCCCCTGCCCGTGCCCCTGCCTCAACAGTCCCTCCCTGAAACAGCAAGGGAGCAGGAGTCAGCGGCGGTGAAACCCGCTGTCTCAGGTTCGGCCCATCCCCTGCGCCCATTATCATCTGTGCAGACAGGTGCTTCTGTGGCCACGTTTGCCTCTGCCTGTGGGAGGAAGCGCTCCTGATTGCCTGCTGCAACCCAGTACCGAGCCCCAGGCACACGAGTGCCAGTGCAAACATCATCTACAGGGACATCAGGAACTCTCTAATCTGACCCTCAGCACAATGCTCCCATGAGCTCCCAGTGTGCCCACAGCATGGAGGGCACACGTGCAGCCCAGGTGGCCCTGTCGGCTGTCCAAGGTCACATGGTGGGGAGTGGGGGTTGCAGGGCTAGGCTGCAACCCAGGCTGCCACGTTCTGTCCAGGCCACCCTGCCTGGCAGCGGTGACCTCAGACTGAATCTGGGATACCACAAGGTCCTTTCACAAGAGGGAGGAATCTCTTCACCCCTCCAGGCCTTGCCTGGGACCTTGGTTGCCATCATCTCTGCTCAGAGCAGGGCCCAGATGAAGCCTGCACACAGGCACTCAGGCCAGGATTCAGTGCAGCCGGAGGGCAGGTGGTGTCAGCACTGGCCCTCAGGGTCTGCCTCACCTCCAGTGCCCAGTTAAAGATGGACTTACAGAGACTAGAATCTCAGGCAAAAGGCACACGAGTCTTCACACTATAGGCAGAAAATTGTCCAAAAGATATCAGAAGTCGTGGAACACAAAGTACATTCTCCTACTCATGAGTATTCAACAAATAATATGCATCTCAGCTGAACCTTCTGTTATAGATATTTCAGAAAAAACACAACGCTTGACATTATCCACTGAATAGATGAGCAGGCACTTCTTACTATGATGCAAAACTGTATCACAGAGGACAAGGGTGGAGGGCGTGAGGCATGGCGGTTCAGACACCACTTGGGATGCCTGCATCCCGTATCAGAATGCCTGGGTTTCAGTCCCTGCTCCACCTCAATTCCAGCTTCCTGCTAACGTGCACCCCGGGAGGCAGGAGGTGCAGTTCCAGCTTCCTGCTAACACGTACCCTGGGAGGCAGGAGGTGACAGCTTGGGTACTCAGGTCCTTGCCACCTGGATCATTGAGTTCTGGGCTCCCATCTTTGAACTGGCCCAGCCCTGGCTGTTGTAAGCATTTGAAGAGTGAACTTGTGGATGGAAGATCTCTCTCCATGTCTCCCTCCCTCCCTTGCTCTCTCTCTGTCTCTCCCTTTCAAATAAAATGAAAAGCAAACAAACTGCAGTCCCTGAGTGCCGAGTTCTAAGCCGAGGGAAGGAGACAGGGCCCGGCCATGACCTGGCTGGCTGGCTCAGGGCAGGTGATGTGCACCCCTCAGTCTCCACCCTCTCCGTGAACAGGCACCTGCAGCATCAGCATCCCACCACGATGAGAACTCCTACCTGGTGTCGGCTTTGGGCCTCATTCACAAAAGGAAGCCTCATCAATTGCTGAAGAACAAAGAACAGTAATGAGGCTGGATGCTGGGCACGAGCCACAAGGGCAGAGACTCCAAGCCAAGCTCGAAGGCCTTGAGTTTAAGGCTCTGATGTCGCTGTCTTTGAATCCTTAATAATGTTGTAACCAGGGGCTCCCCGATCCCCTGCTGTGCTGGGCCCTGTGGATCACACAGGTGGCCTCAAGAAGAGGAGCCTGGCCTCCAGCCCCTAAGCCCTCTATACAAGTCTGCTCTAGAGCCTCTCTGGCCCCGCCTCCCCAGTGCACAGTCTTTGCTCAGACTCAAAGGGGAGGTACCCAGGAGCACCTCTGCCACCGACATCCCGTCTCCCTGTTCAACTTCCTACGCACTTGTCCAGCCTGCACGAACTGGGTGGGTAGGGGCAGGCTGCACCCCTCTGGCTTAGCTCAGTGCAGCCCAATGTCAGCATGCTTGGAACAACTACACTAGCCAGGAGCTGGGCTCACATGATTTACTGAACACTGACAGCAAAGGACAGAATGGTGTATAGGTGGCTACCACACCAC